ATCTCAGGATCTATAAGAACTGGAGACTTGAAATTTATTTTATAGCAAACTTTATAGCAAGTGTAGATCTAGTTGTTTACATTAACCGATCACTCCCGATCCGAATCTAATGCTATCGATTAAAATACCCATAAGTAATTCAGTTATATCTCGCACATCATTGAGGCTAGAGGCTAAAAATTTTGTATTTAGTTTTATGTTTACTTGATACAATATTGACTTTAGTTCTTTTTGGGGTAACCAGCTTCAAGTTTTACTAATTTACTAAACTCAGGGTATCTTCTAGTCGGACATACCCCATATCGTACTCTTACTGGTCTTAGACTAAATGACATTTACACACATTTTGCAGCGTGGCGAAAAACAGCGATCACGAACGCTGCCAAACGGAAACGTTCAAGATAATACGCAAGGACAAGCAATGGAAGCTGGCCTACAAGAGCAACGAGCACTACTTCGATCAGCTATCAGAGCTGGCGCAATGCATACACACCGATAGTCCGGATCGCATACGGATACCGGCATCGAAATATGATAAGCCGCCGTTGTTGCTGCTCTGCTTGCCAAAAAATTTGAAAACCAAAAAGACTGAAGCGGAATTGAGTGAAGCGGAATTACAACGACGTAATCCGCAGATCTTCAATCCGAAAACTGACCTACAATGGTACAGAGGTAAGATGAAGACATTGATCTATGATTTCTTGTTTGCTTATTTCATTCAACCTGCGCATCTTCCTGCCATAGACTCGATTAATCACAGCGACGATGACAAGATGTTCACAATGCGCGGCGACTGGATACAGCAGGGCTCGTTCAAGGATGTGCCCGTCACCATGAAGATGTTAAAGTACGATGCGAACTTTGTGGAGTTCATGCAGCTGGCGCAAACCTGGAGCCTAATCCAGTCGCCCCAATTCATCAAACTGTACGGCCTAACGCTGTCGGTGCCATATACCATGGTCATGGAGTACTCGAAATACGGACCGCTGAATAAGTTTCTGCAAATGAATCCGAACATTAGCATGTACTGTCTGCTGGATGTGATGCACGGTCTGGTGCGCGGCATGCACTATCTGGAGGACAATAAGATCATACACAGCTACATACGCTGCGCCAACTTGTATGTTACCAAATACAGCTCCGAGAAGTATGTACTCGATGCCAAAATCAGCGATCCAGGCTATCCACGTCCATACAAGCAATCCGAGTGAGCAGCCAGTAAACCCATTCGAATAGACACAGCAGAGACTTATTTGAATATTTTTACATCCGTTCTATTGTAGCTCACCTTGGATACCGATCAAGTACTACAACAACTTGGAGGCCGCCAAGCAGGATTTGAGCACACAGCTGTGGGCATTTGCGACCACCATCTATGAGATATTCTCGCGTGGCCAGCTGGCGCTGGAGCAGCTGAAGCAGCGTGATCTCATACGCCATCGATCCATTGATGGTGGCATATTGGCGCCACTGGATCCTCGTCTCTGTCCCCCCGAAATGTACAGCACCATCATGGATGGCTGGAGCGACGATCCGGACAAACGATTCAGCCATCACGACATCTTCACTCGATTGAATACGGTCAAAAATCGTTTGCAACGCAACTACGATGTGCCTGACACAGAAATGGAGTCGTGTAAGTGGAGATTACTAAGCGTTACGATGTGTGTCTATGATAGGGCTAAAGTCGCCAGAGGGTAAAGAGTAAAAGGCTGTATTATATATGCGTAAAGGTCCGTAGTTCTAAGCATGTGTGGATAGATTACGCTACTGTTTTAGAAAGGGATATAGATGAGGTGCCAAAGGACGTATCATAGAAACAGAGCTGAAAGATGAATGAATAAATAGGCCGAGTACAATAATATATGTACTGAATGTATGTATGTAGGATAGTTAAGAAAGTGAAAGAGTATATATATAAACCTTATATCATATCATATCAGACTGATAGATAGTCAAGGCTAATGTTTTATAAAGTGGATGTAGAAGGTGCTGAGGTGCATTAGGACATAAAGATGGAGTTGGGTGACTATGGAGAGCATTACATTAGGGATATTTAAGAAACTCAAGGAGATAATTTAAATAATTAGGATCACATATCATAATGAACATAATACAATACATAAGCTCTCGCAATATTCAATATTATATATATTTACTGTATATACATCTACACCAAGTCCTCAAGACAAGGACAGGACAACTCATGCTTATTTATGCTAGCACCTGAGCGCAGACTTGCAATCCAACTCTAAGTTAGAGCATTTTTTCTGAATCATTTACTCAATCTTTATTTCCATTTAGTCGACTACTCGGATGGCTATGGCTATGGCATGGCCAATGGCCGCCTCCATTCGGTCGACACGGACAGCCTGACGCTGTGCAACGGAGCCGTTGGCCTGAGCAGTGAATTCTTTGCCAATTCGCACGATCTGCCGCTGGTCATACAACTGTACGACTGCAAGGTCATCTATCGCGAGAAGCATAAAATTGGCCAGGGCCACTACGGCACCGTTTACCGGGGCGAGCTCGAATATCACGACAAGGATCGACCCAAGGAGCAGGTGGCCATCAAGAAGCTCAAAACTGTGCAGGTGACCAATGATTTTCTGCGCGAAATCGACATCATGCGCAAGCTCGATCATCCCAATGTGGTCAAGTTTAAATATTGGGCCGAAAAGTCACTGAGCATCATCATGGAGTACTTTGAGTTTGGCTCATTCATTGTCTATTTGAGCTCACGCAAGCCCAGCCTCACCAATGCCCGCCTCCTAACCTTCGCCCTGGACATAGCCCACGTGAGTACAAATTTGTTGTATGCATATGGAATCAATTGAATCAATATTTATGGCTTGCAGGGCATGAACTATTTATCGGGCAAGGGTCTGATACATCGCGACCTGGCAGCACGCAACATTCTAGTCGATCGTTCATGTGTGAAAATCTCCGATTTTGGCCTGGCGCAGTTCGCCAATGCCGATGGCTACTACTACGGCATCAGTCAGCGGGATATACCAATTAAATGGTGAGTGGCAAACATATTAATTTCAATTCAATTTCATTGAACTTCATTCCGCTCCACTCCACTTGCAGGTACTCGCCGGAAGCTATCGAAACCTGCAAATTTTCATCGTATTCCGATGTGTGGAGCTATGGCGTGACGCTGTTCGAAATGTTCTCACGCGGCGAAATACCAAATCTGGTGCCGGGACAAGATTTGACGCAAGAAGAGTTCCTAAATCGACTGCGGGCGGGCGAACGGTAAGTCGCTTCAATTTACGCAAACTCTGATTCTAACTCGATTGGATCTTTGCAGGCTACCTAAGCCGGAGCTATGCTCGGATTTCGTCTACAATGAGCTGATGCGTCCTTGTTGGCATGAGACGCCCAAATCGCGTCCATCATTTCAGCAAATTATACAAATCATAACACGCGAAACTGGTGATAATATTGCTGCCGCAGCGGGCAATCAGCAACAACAGCAACAGCAGCAACAACAGCAACAACAGCAACAACAGCAGCTGCAGCAGCAACAAAAACACCAACATCAGCAGCAACAACAACAGCAACAATTCAACAGAAGTATAACGTTAGAGAACGAATGACATGAATCATTGGCAGAAACGGGCGAGCAGATAACATAATGAGCGCATGCTTCATGTGTATAAGATAGTGCGCCCCAATCTGATATTGGAAGAGGGCGTGTTCGATATGACAGCAGCATTGAAATTGCATTGTTAATGTTTTCTTTTTATCATTTTAAGTTGTTATTTTTTATCTTAACTACTTAAACACAAACACACATACACAAGCAACTACACACACACACACTCACACATAGACGTTTCTAAAACGTCGGACGCACGTGCTTTACGGCAACAAAGTTTCATTTGAACTTAAGCTATATTAATATACATCATCATCATTATATATATATAAAGTTATTTATATATATATATATACATATATAAATTACTCTACTTTAGCATCATCAACTCACATACATCGCCTGATGTCTTTTTTATTTCACACATTTTACCTTCTAATCGGACTCTCATTTTAGTTTGTTATAACATTTAGACAACATTTGTTACATTTTGCTTAGCTTGATATATACATATATATAAAGAAAATATATAATTAAAAATGTACAAAAGTGGCGTGCACGCTGTATTTGTCCACTTATATATGTTTAAATCTAATCAAGCCAATATATAAAAACGTATTTTATGTAACATTTACTCAACAAATATCTGTGCACATATAGTTAATGTATATGTTATGTATATTATGTATAAAAAATAAACAATAAAAATGATTGACAACGCGAGTCAAGCATACTTTATATATATACATATATATATGCCATTTGAAACCAATAAAAATGAATTGATGAAGTAAATTAAAATGAAACGTTTTATTTTGAGAGTGAGAGAGAGAGAGAGCGAGAGACAAGTTATGGTTCTCATAGACGAGTGAATGCAGCAATTTGAAAGGGAAACATTATTGAAGAGAAAGCGAGATAGCTATATTACATATGCCCTCATATAAATAGAATATGTATTTAGATGTAAGTTTAACAGCCAGGGATATTATCAATATCGAGTAATAGATAATTATTATTATCTAGACATGTGAAGCTTTTAAAGCTCATCAACATTTATGATAATCACAAAGAGAGGCAACAAATATGAAATAAGTTTTTAGCTTTAGTTGGATTTAATATATACAAAGTTATATATATGATTTATCTAGAAAAAAAACTAAAACACTTCTCAAATGAAACAAAAAATCATTAACATTTATTCAATTTAATTATGCCTAGTTCTAGTTCTTAGTCAAAATTAAATACATTTATAGCAATAATAAAATGTTAGCCACGACTTCATCTCCTATAGTCACAGAAAAATGAAAGAAAGCGAGATAGATATACATCATATTGGAAAGAATGAAACATGAATATTTCATGACAGAAAATTAGTCAAATATGTATATATAAATGTTTTTAGACAAATATAGTTTATTGTAGTTAAGTATAGCTTATAAGTAAATCGTATTGCATTATTGACTGAATTGACAAAAGTCTACAACGTTGGCATTATATTCTATCTTATAATAATATTCCGATATTCTATGAAGTTTATCAATTGAAAATACAGTTCAATAACCGGAAGTATTATAGTACTTAATCTATATGCTAGATAAAATAGCATGATTTTAACTCCTACATGAAATTGAATTTTCATTTTGTTGGCTCTATATACATATACAGTAGAACACGGCGATAAGACTCAGCTTATAGCAACCGAGCAGTTATTGCGACGATTCTTTGAAAATTCTGGTCCCTGACGGACTTCCGTGTATGACGGTCCCTTGAGCGTCGTTAGTAGCGGATTCCATTGTATTTACATATCTGACTATTCTTTTATCGTCTAACTATCAGCGTTATTGTATGCTAGGAGCCCTCAGTCTTCTTCTTCTTAAGCGTCTCCATAACGCCGGCAAAGTTGGCCGTCTTCTTTTTGGCGGACTTCGGCGTCGAGGTCTGGCTGCGTACACGCATTTGAGTGGGGGCAACATCATCGCTGAAATCAAAATCGTTTGCCTTCTGTGGTCTGCAATTGATAGTAAATAAATAATTAGAAATCGAATCTATCTCTCTCTCTCTCTCCCTCTCTTTCTCTCTCACAGTGTTGACTTACTCTTGTTCCACAGTTTCGGCCGCGGCTTCCAATTCCTTACTGTTGCTCCCGGCATTGGCATCCGGCGAAGGCGGGCGACGTCCAGGGAATTGCCATTGTAGCTCTGGTATATTGCCCGCTTCGAGCATTAGGTAATAGTTCTCCAATTCTTCAGCATTTGCTGATGTTTTATCAACCGCGGCCGAGTTTTCCACTTCTGCAGCCATATTTTGTTTGGACTAAATTTACATTAACTCGATAATTAACTATCGATATCGATTGCCGTGCAAACACAGTGTTGGAAGGTTGCCAATTTGGCGCTTAATTTGAATTGCAATGGATATTATTGTGTTTATCCAATATTTTGTTACAAGAATTGATCAAATTGAATGGAAATCTAAAATGCCATCTGATTAATAGCCAGCCATGCTGTAAACAAATCTTATTTAGCAGACATATAATACATTTAGTCCATACAATGATTGACTACCTCAATATAATTTCCTGAATTTCTCCAAATTTATTTTGCTGTTAATAAACTACTTTAATAAAAATATCTTTGATATTCCCTCAGCGCATGCAAATATAAACATCAAGATTATTTGTTATATTTTTTTATTTTTTTGTTTGTTTTTTTTTTTTTGCTTTTTGATTACTAAATTCTTAGAACTTTATTCAAAATTATCATCTCATTCTTATACTCATTTAACTGGCTTACATTCATCCAACATGCGATGTTCTCTCTCATTTTGCCTGCGGGCCGCGTGAGCAGCCACAGCAAACGCAATTCGAACTAATTTCTAGTTGACACTGTATCCATTGTATCATCCAGCTGCATCTCATATTCATCATCTCCTTCTCCATTTGCATCCTTCTTCTCCATCATCATTATCAGCATGACTTATAAATATACATATTATATTGTTTGTTTGTTGTATACTCGTATATGTATAAAAAGAATAATTATATTAATTAATTAATTAATAATAAACACACAATTTCATTGCAAAAAATTTCTACAATACGTAATTAAATACGGATACGTCCTGATCGTTGGTATTGCCGCCGCCACCACCACCGCCTCCTCCGCCACCACGATTCGATGAGCCCGACGATTTGTTGGAGCCATGGGCAGCGATGGTCAGCTGATTGGTCTGATGTATGACAGAGGTGATGTCGCTTTGCGATGCAGATATATCCTTGCTGGTGAGCACATCGGAGCTGCTCGAACCGGACGAGATGTGACGCTCGGCGATGCCGTACTGTATCGGCTGATAGCCGTGACTTGGATTGTACGTGGCCGAGTATGGCATATAGATCGGCGGATTTGGCAACGGCCCAATGTCGCTGGTGATGCTCTCCGTGTCGGCATGGCTCAGCGCATGCGCCAGCGGATGCATCTGGGCACGCATATTTGGATTGCGCTCCTCATTCACCACATAATAGCACTGCTCGGAGAAGGTCAGCTTATTGACCGTGTGCTTAATGTAATTGTTGCGCAGCATGGCGGACACAATGCGGCGCGCCTCCCGCCGATCCTGCACATCCTCAACGTTCTCCAGCACCCAATTGACCGCATCGGCGCCAATGAACGCATTTGGTATGGTGATCTTTAGCCACATGCGATCGCGTATCTCCAGTCCGCTATCCGGCTTCGTCATGGCCTTGACAATCTCCTCGAGATTATTCTGATCGAGCCGCTCTTTGATCGGCTCCGGTATATCCGCCATAATACTGTCATGCGAGGTTAGCGCCTGTGTGTGCGCCACCCAGGCGCCCGGATCGATGGGCCGGACCGGCTCCGTTCGTGGTATGGTAAAGTAACCCTTTGGATTTGGATCCCAGCATTTGGCCACCACCAGCTTGATGGGTCCCGGCTTCTGGACCACTTCGCGCAACACACGCACCGCCTCATCATTGGTCATATTCTCAAAGTTCACATCGTTCACTTGCAGGATCATGTCACCAGGCTCAATCCGGCCGTCCAGGGCTACGGCGCCGCCCTTCATGATGCTGCCCACATAGATGCCGCCGTCGCCGCCGCGATTCGATTGTCCCACAATGGATATGCCCAAAAAGTTGACCGCCTCCATATTAATCGAAACGGTGATGATGTTCAGCGACATGGTAGAGTCCGTGATGGAGCTGTACGACGAAGTTCGGGACATGCTGGGCGCCCGCTTTTTGCGACGTTGCGGCTTCTTGCGCACCTGCAGCCGTTGCACGCTGCTATAGTCAGTCATATCGCGATCCAATGTCAGCTCCGACTCGGTGCCAAAGAGACTGGTGGAGTCCAGATCGCTCGATAGCACCGAGGCCGATTGATATGTGAGTGGCGGCGGCTGCAGCATTTGCAATGGTCCGAGCTTATGTTGTTGTTGTTGCTGCTGCTGTTGCTGCTGTAGCTGTTGCTGCTGTTGGTGTTGCTGCTGTTGTTGCTGCTGCTGCTGTTGCTGGTGTTGTTGCTGCTGCTGCTGCTGGAGCGCCAAGTGATTACGCACACGCATCTCGCATTCGCTGGGCGGCAGCTCAGAACAATTGTCCGACTGATTGGTGCCATCGGCCGAGACCAGCCAGGAGACGACGCGTCCGTTGAAGCAAGGCAGTATTGTGGCATCGTCCGCAATTTCCTCTTTGACCACACCGAAATCAGCGTCCATTGACTTGAAGAAATATTTGTAATTGTTGTTCTGTTTGTTGAGCACCATTTTGAAGTCTTTGAGCGTGACCTGAGCAGATGGTATCGGGATTTTGACCAGATACGGTGTGCTCTCATCGTCAATGTGATAAATGACTTTTGTCTCTTGGCTATTTGGTCTCTCTGTATCCATTGTGGCTGAATTTCAATTCGATTCAACCAATTATATTACTATATATTTTTGTATATATTTATTTAATATATATGATCTACACTCTTTTTCGCTGCACACACTCGCCAAATTTTCGTGTAGTTTTCCCTTTTTTTTGTTCTTTCTTTCTTTCTACTTTTTTTTACTTTTTACATGTATGTACTCCTCTCGCTTATGCTTTTTGGGTTGGGTTGTCAATGGAGCCGCAGCAGCTCTCCGCCTCCTTCATTTGTAGTTTTTTTTTTTTGGCGTTCCACTGCGTTTTTGCGGCTCAACAATGCTTGGCGTGCATTTGCGAGCGTTTTTTTCACGCGTTCGCACACTTTGCAATATTGTGTACAATTGTTTTTTTCGTGGGCGTTTAAATTTATAATTTTTGGGGAGACAAAATATATATATATAGGTAAATAATTGACAGCGCTAGACTGATATCGATACACGTATCGAACCAGGGATGCTGCCACGCTTACCCAAAAACACAAAAGATATATCGCAACTGGGCGATAGCTATCGATGAGCGTTTGTTTAGAAAAATGGTTATTGAGAACAGAAAAATAATAATATGAAATGTTTCTTTTTTTTAAAGCTATAATCAAAGAAGTAATAAATACGTTGTACCTATGTTATTATTTTTTTTTAGCTAAAAGTTATTTCTTCTTTAAATACTCACAACTTATCGATTTTTGTTTGTATTTATAAGTTGTAGAAACAAGTGTATGCCCATTACGTGTTTGCTGCACAACTATTTTTAGCCACTAGCTATGCAGCTATGTATTCGCCTTTTAGTACAATGATTTATATAAAGATCCAATGAAGTCCCGATTAAATTTTAAATGAGTAGAAGTGTGTACACACTGGCCAGAATTGTTCCATTATCATTTCAGATTAAATTAAATTAATATTTTTATTTATGTTGATTTTCCCCCCTATTTAATAGAATAAAAAGTCATTCATAGTATTGGATATTTGATATTATGTTTAATCAGCAAATGGTCACAAAAAAAGAATAATTTAAAAGGAAAAAATTTAAAGTAATTTGAACGAAAGTAATTAAAATATGTTCTTTTTTGTTATTTTCTTTTCACATAATAAAATCAAATCATTTTATTGATTACGCCCTTCATTGCTTTACATAGAAATAAAAAATTAAATATTTTATTGATTACACATTCTCATCGCTTTACATAGAATTAAAATTATTATTATTTTATCGTTATCATTATCATTATTATTAATATTATATTACACCGGCCATTTGGGTGTACAATGGTTATTTTGTTTTATTACATCGAATATTAATCAACTAAACATGTATTTTTTCATTTGCAAATTAAAAAGTGATATTTATCATTTCAAAACGTAATCCTACGACTATATATATGTATATATATGTATGTTTTTTTTTTTTAAGTTATGTTAAAATTATACATTTCACACTGAAAGTCATTCGTCCATTCAGAGTTTTGAAACAGTTTATATAGATACCTCCATATAGATTTCCAGGATTTTCTATCGGTAATTGGATTTAGTGAAGTTTACCTTTAAATCCGTTTTCTTTTTCTTTCTTTTTTTTTTATTACATTTATGTAGATATAACGAACAGCTAAAGTAACTATTACGCTAAAGTAACTATTACAACTAATTTAAATCGAATAAAAAAAAATAGATTATAGATAATCCAAAAAAAATAGAATATATGTACATATATATGTATATATATATATATGTGTGTGTGGGTGTTTAATTTTATGTGTGTGTGTGTGTGTGTATGTATGCATATATTTCCATTCGCACACATACATACTGGAGTATGTATTTAGAATCCTCCTCAGTGATCTCGCATCCCTACATACCCAGGCCAACTCATTACTTGGAGGTGACCATCTCGACAAGATCGCTGGACAGAGCCAGCGTGTCAACAACATCGATCAGTATCTCTACATCCTTGAAGGTGCTGACCACCTCGGGTGCACCCAACAGATTCACATGCTTGCCGTCGATGTTGGCATAGAAGCATTTGTTCTTGAATATGATGGCACGATCGAAGGGTACACGGCACTTGCTCCGGTCGAGCACGGAGCGACGGAAGAGCACGCACGACGGCTGATATTTGTGGCGCTCCTCTTCGGGTATATTGTAGCTCTTCAGATCTCCCTTGAATACGGTCATTGTCTGGCGCTGCAGCGCTGGCGACAGCTTGTAGAGGGTCACCTTGCTTGTCCATCTGCTGGACGGGACCTTGATGCTTGTCGCCATATTGGCCAGCTTGACCAGCGCCATTTCGAGGCAGGTGCGTTGCTGGCGTGTCTTATTCGACGGCTCTTTGGGCGTACTGATCACATGCCAGGTCTCATAGCAGGTTATCTTCTTGACTATTCTGCCATCCTCCTCACAATATGTGGTTGTCTCCGGCGGAAAGTATTTGGGCTGTTTGGCCTCCGGTTCCGGTTCGGCTGCCATCACCGCTGTATCCTCATCTGTTGCATGTTCCTTATAGCGACGCACCGCAGTCGTCGACGTCGACGGACTGGCCGGCTTCTTGAACACATCATCATCGCTGCCCTCGCCCAGCAGCTTGGTCAGCTTGCGATCCTGCTGCTGATGATGTTGCTGCTGCTGTTGTTGTTGTTGATGTTGCTGTCTTTGATTGTTGCTGGCATTGGACGACGCTGTCGCCGAGAGCACTTGTCGTCGATTGGGCATCCATTTTGTGGTATTCGTCTGTACACGGCGCATGAGGCGTGCCTGATTTGAAGCTGCTGCTGCTGCAGGTGGTGATATGGTGATGTCGTCGTCAGCCAGATCGTTGACCATATCCTCATCCTCGGTGTTGTCACCATCAGTCATCGGACACAACTCCTTGCCCATGCTCATCAGTGGCTTCATCATCGGCTGCGTCTTCTTGCCCATTTCGGCATTGAGGATGCGCGGACGCGGCTTCGCCTGACCCACAGAGACGACCAGCGACGTCTGTTTATTATGATTAACCGTCAATGGATGCTTGGCCGTCGCTCCAGTTCCCGTTGCTGTTCCCACACCACTTGTTGTCTTTAGACGCTTATTTGCCGCATTGACGCCTGGCGTGCCGCCGCTATTCCGGCTGCTGCTCATCGCTGTTATGGGGGAGGAAGTGGATTGATTTGTGCGCGCATTGTTGTTGCTCCTCGCGCCAGAGAGCAATTTCTTGTTGCCGCCACCATTGGAAGAGGAGCGTGTAATGAGCACATCGTCCTGGTTAATAATGTCATCAATGTTGACGATGGTGAATGTGGGCACATCGTCTGCTTCTGTCGCTTTCATGGCTGAAACCGCAGCATTCGCAGCTGCTGCTGCAGACGCCTTCTGTACTTTGAGCACATTGCTCGAGCCGGACGGACGACTCACTGTGCCTGTGCGCACCACCTGAGTGGAACCAGTATTGCGCACACCGCCACCTGTGGGCGTGGCCACTTTGTAAGTGGACATCGGTCGTGCCTTGGCGTTGGTCGATTGCAGCATGCGCAAGCCACCGCTGGCATTGCTGGCGCCGCCGCTGCTGCTGCTGTTGTTGTTGTTTCCACTGCTGCTGCTCACAACTACCTTCGATTTGGACAGTGTGAGACCCGACGTCTTGGACGCAGATGTACTGCCATTGATAACGGGCCAGTCGCTGTTCATGCGCTTGCGTGCTATGGGCCCATCATTGTGATCTTCGAGCTTTCGCTTGTTGCCCACCGTCGGTGAAGCCATCACCTTGACGTGGGAGCGCGCCAGATTGGGCGCCATGGTGCGTCGCAGCTGCTGCAAGTGTGTGGCTCCGCCACGTCCCGCCTGGGACTGCAGACTGTTGTTGCTCGCGGCTGTCGCGGCGCTGGCCGATTTCGGTGGACGTCCACGTCCACGTTTCGGCGGCACCTTCTCTCGTCGCAGCTGCTGCTGAAAGTCGCGTTCACTGATGTCATCGTCATCGTCCGATTTGTGCAGCTGCGGATTAAATGCCGCGTCTGTCAGTTCGTCGTCGTTGTCCTCCTCGATCAAATCGCGCAGATCTTCGTCCTCATCGTCATCGTCGTCGGTAAACAGATGCTTGACCGAACGCTTGCCGGTATTCTCACTGGCCAGTGCGGACACATACTTTGGCGTCACCATATCATCGCTGGCATATTTCGGATTCGGTTTGATCGAGCGACGCGAACGACTTGCCGCAATAGTTGGCGGCGGCGTTGCCACCGCCGTGGAGGCCAGCTTTGACTGCTTGTACATTTTCGCTTTCGGCTCGCTAACGATCTCCTCGGTCTGTGGCTGGGACTGGATCTGGGTCTGGGTTAACGTGTCACGCCGCTTCCTCAGCGGAGTGCACGGCCGGGCCACGGGTAATATTAGCGCTGTGTTGCGCCGCTTGGTCACTGGTGTTGCCACTGATTTGATTTGCTGTTTTGCCGTCTTAGCTGCGGCCCGCGGTACTGTAGATGGTTCGTCGGCTTTTGTGTTACGCGTGCGTGGAGTACTCACAATTGATTTGAGTTTGATTGGAGACAGCTCAATGTTTGTAACGGTCGTCGCTCGTTTGGAAGTGCGCGTCGCTCGCGTTGTCTCTACCACTAGCTGATCCAGGTCTTTTTCCTTAAGAGTTCGTCTTGTCGAGGTACGCAATGCTTTCGTCTGTTTACCGGATGTGGTCGATGATGAGTTGTTGATTATATCGGTGGCTTCGGATTCCTTTAGATTTTTTACGTATACTATACACGATCGAGTCTTTCCTATCTCAGCTTCCGTCTTTTTTCCAGCTCGCATTTTTCATAAGTCACTAAAATGAATTAAAAATCGTATAAACTATTTGTAATCGCAAATATGCTAGGAATTATATTAATATAAATAAAACATAATAAAAACAAAACAAAACTTGAAATGCAGTGTAATGGCAACACGGCCAGAGCTCTAATTAGAGATGGGCGTCTCGTTGATTCGTGAATGGCATTTGAAATATGTTAACCGTACAAAAATATACGAATATAAATAATAAAACTTAATAGTACATATATATTGTATAAATATAAATATTTATATAAATATATATATATTTATGATGAATTTAAGAACTCTTGAATGCATTAAAATGGCCTTCAAATCTTACAATCATATTAATATCATTAATATGTTTTATCTGTTCGTGCTTATTTCGTGTTCAAATAGCTCATCTCGTCCTCCTCCCTATTCTGATTGTGCGACAACTCTGGCGCCCATTTTTGTCATTTTTGGTGCTCTATTAGGAACTACGTTGATTTTTGCGCGCCAGTTGTATGTACATACACTCACATATATCTAATATTAATATATATTTACATACACACACACATAATGCATGTACATTCTCTCTTGTCGCATTTCAATAAAAAAAATTTTTTTTATAGAGCTGCTGTATTTTGAAAATCGTCTCGCACTTACATTAAATGGTTTTACATTTTTCGGTTTTCCTTTTCCTAAGCGATTTCTGTGAATTCTGTTTCGCACACTTTCACTGCACTGCGTTTTCGATTGTGCTCGACAAGACGTCCCTGTTGTGAATTATAACAGCAAATTGGCAACGCTATACATATTTATTTGTAGCTAAATGATTGTATTTGTGTTGTCTTTGTCAGTAATATTATTCGCTGAAATTTCCGTAACGTCACTGTTTTTGTTTTGCAAAGATCTTTTTGGTTGATTTCGCTCGCTTTGCTTTTGCTCTGGAGCTCATAAATTTGTGCGGCGCTGCCAGGCCAGCAATGTTTTTCTACCCAACTGTACCACACATACACGCACAAACAGAGCTGCTACCCCGTGGCTTGCGCCGTGCAACAAATTGTATAGTTTTGTTTTTATAATTGTTTTTGGTTGGGGTTTGATACACTGGGAATTAACACAAATTAAATTAAAAAATTTATTTTATTTAGTTCTGTTTTTTATATTAACAAATTGGATGCTAAACTGTAATAATATCACTTCCCGCGCTCAATATTTTCGATGTCGATTACCCAGAACACCACAGCACTGCCACTCGCCATGAAATTATAAAGAGTAATAGAAGTGGAAGAGGAGAGAGAGAGCGAGTGCAAAATAAAATAAGCAAAGCGGACTGCCAACTGATGCCAAAATGTGTTGGGCTGCCAACCTTGTGTAACAGGTGGGCATGCCCAATTCATGTATATACATACGTGACTACATTTTGATGTTTTTGTACATATCTACGCATGCATATATTGTATATATACATACATATATGAATATGTGTATAAAAATATATTTATATACGTGAACCCGTATGTGTCTTGTTTTGCTCTATTTTTGAGGATATATTTCCGTATCATCGTTTATCATATATGTATTTTAATTATTAACATTTCTTTGTACGACTCTTTGCTCATTAATTACAATATTTTAGTTTTTATTCAATGCAGATGGCTGGGGGCAACGGTATTTGGCCATTTCGACCTCAGCTTCCGCATAACTGAACCGATTGAAACAGAAATATTCGGGAACTTTGTAGTCGCCAGTTGGAGATGCTCCAGGACCAACTGGTGTCGATGTCGGCCTCACACAGGCGCTGCTTAGTCCAGTTACGTTCTTTACGGGTGGTGCTGCTGGTCCAGGTGTGGCGGCGACTCGGCTCCCGCTGCTTGGTGCGGGTCTTGAGGCACCTGTGCCCTTAGCAGCTTGGCTGTAGCCGCGTCGTAGCAGCTGGTTGAAAGCGGCTCGTGGGGCTGCGTTCATTTTTATGGCAAATTGAACACAAACGTAAACGTCCAACAGAATTCACGTAATCGCACAACTGACAAATATCAAGTGCAAAAAAAAAAAAACAACAAAAATCAGATGATTTACAGAAGATTGGCAGCTCCAAGTTTGTGGCGTTGCCATTTAGCTCTAAACATCAACTATCATTTAGCCATTCATTAATACAGACGCACACAGGAATATATGTATATGTATTAATATGTGTATTAGTTTGTTTACAACATTCAAAAATGTTCCCCATTTGAATTGAAAAATCACTAACATAGTTTTAAGTCTTTTAATTTCGTTTCTTAAACTTCGGTTCTGCTTTGCCATAATGCTGGCTTATATTAGCAACAGGCGCTCGCCGCTTTTCCTTCGTTTTCTTGTTGCACTTGACGCTCGCTGCGCCAGTCTGATTTTTGCCCAATTGATGGAATTTCTTGCGCTCCTCTCGGATTTCCTGTAGACGTTTGCGTTCCGCCTTCAGTTCCTTGTAGTTTTTGTATGCCTTTTTTGGTGGCTTGGCGCCAAGTTTGACCAGCTGAAATATTTCCATTTTTCGTTTGTTCTTGATCGTCCGTTGATTGGATATGGCAAAGTTGAGCACCTCTTGGCGTGCTTTCTTAATGTCGAATTCATTATCCTCTTCCTTTGGCCTCTTTACATTTGTTGTTTTGCCTGTGCTACTATCTGTTGATAATTTCTCTGGTTTGTTTGTTGTTATTGTCGCTTGTGGTTCCTGGAATACCAAAGCCTTAAATTCAGCTTCATCCGCTGATTTCTTCAATGCAAGCGCGGCGCGGGTCAGCACAGGCTTAAAATCCGTACTGACATTCATGTCGGTTAACTGTTAATTATGCACAATTTTAGCAAAAATAACTAGCACTGAATATTTAAGCGTATATACATACAAACGCACACATGTGCTAAGCAGTGACAAAAATGTACTAATTATAGACAAAGTCTGCGTAAATAGTTTAACGAGTTGGCAGCATTACAACTGCGCGCACGTTTTTATTATTATCCTCTCTCTGCATGTTTTGTTTTTTAAACATTAACTAATGGTAAAGTGTGCAGTATGAAACAAAATAGCTTAGACAATAAATCAGGCAATAAACAGGCTGCAGAGCTGGCCGCAAAGCGTGCCAATGTGCCAGCCGCTTTACAGCAAAAAGCCAACGATTTCTTGAATTCCAGTCCTGTGAACACAAAAGCTCTAAAGCAAATGGTTAATCTCTTGGTAAGTAAATTACTGTTGATTAAATGCAAAAATAAAATAATATGCAATGTCACAATTTTACAGGAAAATCCCGACAGCAATGCCGTCGGCATCATGTACGTGCTTGAGGTGATCTTCAGAAATCTACTCAAGCGCAAACTCATTTCGACTGCCGAGAATAAAAAGTGTAAGGGTAATGCTCAAGCCAAGCCACAGGAACCCAACGCAACATGTCAAATACAATATAATAAAGCTTGGTCCGTATTGCTGGCCAACTTGGGAAATACCTCTAAAGAGGAAGCTGGCGGTGCACTTAAGGTGTGCATGCAGCTGATAGCAGCCGAGGCCAAGCACAGCAGCTCTAATGCCTGGCCCGTTACACGGCTGCGCAGCATCCTCGAGGCGCTGATCAATGCAGAGGCAACGCCAACCGCAGCTCTGGCAGAGTTCGCCAAATTTACTCGTTGCTTGGACGTCCTGCAGTTCACATATCAACTGTTGCCTGGTCTGGCACCAAAAAGTTTTGTCGATACACCAAACTTAGCGTTTAACTATTTGGCCATCATCAATGTGCTGGACTTGGGCAAGACTGTGCTAAACGACAAACAATTCCATATTGGACCAGAGTCCACCTTTGACTATGAGCGAACGCGTCAGCTCTTAAATAAGGTTTGGAGTGGCGTCATTGCATCATGCAATGGCGTGGACGAGAAGGTGCATCGCCAGGTTCTTGTGGTGCTCTTGGAACGTATACTACCACACCTGAAGGATCCCATATTGTTAACAGACTTTCTAATGGATTCACTGCATCAGTTTGGTAGGGTGATGAGAGATTGCTTAACTTACATCAAAATTCAATTGAAAGTTTCATCTTTGCAGATGGACCCATCGCCCTGTTGGCTCTGCAGGGCATCTTCACGTTGATGCAAAAGCAAAATATCACATACCCAGATGTCTATCAGAAGCTCTATAATATGTTCTATCCACGCATGTTCTACAATAAGTACAAGGCGCGCTTGTTTTATTTGGCCGATATATTTCTGACCTCAACGCATTTGCCAGAAAATTTGGTAGCCGCTTTCGCCAAGCGTCTGGCTAGACTCGCCCTCAAGAGTCCAACCGAGGATGCCATCATAATGATACGTTTCATATGCAATCTACTGCTGCGGCACACAGGACTGCAGCGTCTCATTTGTGCAACGGGTGCGGCAAGCGGTAAGCCAAGTGCCTCATGTATTAAATTGAAAGATATTCTGATATATCTGTGTATATTGTAATTGCAGGCGCTGAAATTGTGGATCCCTATGATGAAACAGAGCTAGATCCGGTCAAAGCTGGCGCCCTCCAAAGCTCGCTCTGGGAGCTGGTGCTGCTGCAGAAGCACGCGGTACCCGAGGTAGCCAATGCCGCTAAGTTTATCAACAAAAGTTTGCCCATGGTCGAATTTGATCTATCGTCGCTGCTGGAAATAAAGGAATGCAATGTTAGTATCGATTTTCATACTTAAGATTAAGATATATAGAGATTATAGATATAATGTTGAATTCTCTCTTTTTAGATTTTCGATGATGAGGTGAAAAAGGAAGTAAAACAGTTTACGATGGCCTATGAGCGACCAACAAACTTTGCGCTGCCTCAATATGATATAGTTACCAAATACTGGGATATATTATAAAATAAAATATATATACAAATGTGTGTATATCTGTTTATAATGCTAATACTAAGATTTGAAATTCTTTACCTAAATTTAAAGCAGAATATTAAGCCAAATTGTATTGTTGGCTCAGCTCCGCTTGGAACCAGTTGGCGGGGTAAATGTATTGTTGCTGCTGCCATGCCCTCTGCCTCTGCCGCTGCCTCTGGCGCTGCCACTGCTGGTGTGGCATCATCGCACTTACGTGCACTTTGGTTCTTTTAATTGGAACTACAACTGGCGATGTCGCCCTGTCTCCGCCTCCTCTGCCTAGCTCTAAGGCTGATACCGCGCGTTGCTGCCGTAACTGTGCGCAAATGCGGCACGGACGTATGAGGGCGAAATACACGCATTCGGCTATCGACAGAAAACTGAAGCCCAGAAACAGGCCCATTAAACCGCCAACGTTGGCTGAAAATTTCGAAAGAAAAAAAAAAAAAAACAACAAAAAAACGCACACACACACAGAGGAAATCTCAATTGTGGTTTAAGTTTTTTCTCCCTTGCAATCTGTTCGGAATACCCTTGCTTTTATATATCCCTGCTATGGGGTACTTTGAAATTTGGCTGACCATCTGGAATATTGAATTCCTTAGAAATCATGTTTATACTTAACTTTCGGAGAGACATCGGCTCTGCTATATCTATATATGTACATACATATATTCCATACATCCCAAATCGATATACTCTATACCCTATATCGGGATGTTTCGCAATATTGGAGATCTTGAATATCTATAATATATGTGTTCTATCTATCCTATATCAGTCTTGAAGATCTTGCGTACAGAATCTTTTATATATAAAAACTATAATCCCAAGTCAATTAGTAAGGATTTCTCTGTTTAATATTAATCAGCTACCAAGGATATTTCATTGTCTTGAGGACCTTGTATATCGGATCTCTTTCATAAATATATATTCTATATGGTTCAAACCAATGAGCATTTATATATATATACTGTATATACTATATGCCTTATCTCATTTAGCAAGGGTATTTCAGAGTCGGTCAGCCGAAACTAGCAAAACTTTCTTTGGTTGCCTTGACGCACACAAAAAATCGGATATGCCGATGAACTCGGTCTGCTTGTTGGCACGGAACGTGTGATCCTTGTAGTACAGATTGACAACGGCTATGTTCCGCTCCACATAGGCCTGGCTGAGGTTGCGCATGTGGGCGTTGGCGTGCCGGAAGTCGTTGTAGGAGATCTTGGTGGCATAGGTGATCGCCTGGTAGGTGAGATCGAAGCAGCTGGGCAGACAGTTGTCCAGGCAGGACTCGACGACATGCCCAATCGTATGCAGCCGTACGCTCTCCACGCACTGCGCTTCGCGGATGCTGCAGACGGTGTCGTTGCCATTGATGCGCGGCATGTAGAAGACGACGCAGCCGCAGCGCTGCAGCAGCAGCCGCGACATGCACTCCATTTCGCAGTTGCGCTGCGTGTAGTGCGCGAAGTAGCTGAGATTGCCCTCGTTCTGGAACAGGCAGTGCCTGTACTTGCGATGCACATGCCTCAGGCTCAGTTCCGTCATCATTTTCGACGGCTCGATGCGCAGCTTTGTCTCCAGCCCGGGCGAGAGCAGCACGCCCGTCTCACGTACATTCGGCGACTCGTTGGGACTGTGCAGCGCGATCTTGAAGCCAATGCTGTTGCTGGACGAACAGTAATACGCATCTGCCTCCACGTTCAGCATCAGCGACATGCCCAGCGACTCGCCCGTGCCCAGCGAGGAGCGCGGATAATAGTCGCTCCCCAGATTGCGACTGTAGCCGAGCTCCGCATGCCAGTCGACTGCCCGATAGCGCTTCGATTCATTCCAATTGCGGAGCGTCAACGGCACACTGCAAGAAAATTGCTAATTGAGTGTCTCTTTTACTCACACTTTTAGAAGAAACTCAGAGAGCAACAGTTCTTTGACGAGCTCGTTCGCGATCGACTAGAAACCGCTTATTAATCTAGTTGTTCTCTAACCGTTTGGTGAGAAATTTCGTCGTATGTGCATGTATGCGTACGTGAATTGAGTGTGTGCATGTGTATGTGTACTGAATTCTTGCTTTACTGCGCCTCATTGTGTGAGCGTCAATCGGCTCTCTCTCCCTAAACGATGTGCGTTAGAAGAGCGCAACACGACAAGTTCAAAGCGCTCAACAGAACCGAGCGTGAGAGCGAGACAGTATGATTTTTTTTTTTCAGTTGATGTCGCGAATAGAGAGTAAGGAATCAAACTAGCAACTATTATTTGCAAGCTCTGCTGAGAATTCAACTCGTTACTTAGAAAGCACTCCAAATTAAGCTTTAAACTGCTCATACATTTGTATGTATACATGTATGTATGTACATGCATATGTATACCAAATAGCTTTTGGGCCGATTGTTCTTTTGAAGGATCTATGAATCTATGGCTTACACTTTTGGGGAAAAACATCCATATAATGAATACATCAGTCGTAGCTATTAAGAGCAATAATAATATGCATAATGGAATATACATACATACATAAAAAATATTTATACATTTTGCAGGGTATCTGCTAGCAGCATTTGAAGTCTTATTACTGCACTTACTTGTGCTTGTACATGAAGCGTGGATGGAGCATATTGATGACACAGCAGAGGCCCTCGTCGGTGATGATTGGCTGGAACATGCGTTCGCACTGATAGTCGACGGCGCCGAAGCGACAGCCGATGACCATGTCGCCGCATGGCTGTGAGATCTGGCGAAAGAGAGAGAGAGAGAGAGCTCAACTGGGATTGATGCTGGGCAAGGTACTCACATTGCTGATCAGCTGCTCCCAGTTGTTGTTGCCGCGACTGAGCTGCGTGCGCGGCTTGCGATGGCAGAGGACTTGGAGCATGGCGAATTGCGATGAGTCGTTGGGCAGCCGGGCGGCTTGGGAGGCCAGCGCCTGGTTCAGATTGCATATGGTGAGCGCCGGGAAGGGCTCCTTGGTGATGTACGTCGGCTCCGGATTGATGCCCACTATCACGGGCGTCGTGTTCCACTTGACGAAGGCGTCTTGCATTAGGAAACCAGCACAGCCAAGCACCGCCAGCAGAGCGAGCCCAAAGAAGAATCTGCATTTATCTTTGCTTTGCTTATGTACCTTAATTTTCCTTTTTTTTTTTTTCTTTTCGGCTTTGACGCCCTCACCTGTCCGCGGCGTGCAGCCTGCGGCTGTTGATGTACTTGAGGCCGTGTATGCTCGTGTTGCGACAAAATTCGTCCGTGTTTAACGCCAGTATGCTGCGCCAGCCCACAGCCGATGCGGGCTCATCCACAGCTGTCCGACCCCTTGTGTGCCAATGCAGCTGTCCAGCTGTTCGTTCCGTTTCAGCACCACGGCGCCTCCTCCAGTTGGCCAACACCTGGCGTAACAGCCGCATGCCGAGTTCCTTTGCAAATGGTCGCCAATTGCGAAGCTCCTGCGGCTTCTACTCCTCGCACGTACTATATTTTCCTTAACCTAAAGCCATTGTAAGTGGTTTGGCAAAAGGGGTAGTCTGTTTGCTTGAAAGAGTATGTAACGGTATTCTGCTTAAGCCATATCGATCAGTGTGAAATCCTAGAGAGGTTGAGCCTAGAGCATGTAGAAGTTACAGATGTTGATGATTTCTAAAATATGAACACGGACCTATGTTTATCGATTTTTGAGCGATTTCTATCGATTTGTTGCGATTTTTGATTTGGATTGTTTTTTTGACTATATCTTTCTTTTCATGCGCGAAATCGATAAGCATCTATCGATAATCGATTGAAACATATTTTAGATGGAAACAATTTTTTATATTTTTTGACTGAATAACGGCTTAACGACTAACTGCTTGAAGTTACTGCTGATTGTAGGGTATCTGTTAGTCTTAATTAACTATTATAACATATGTAATATTATAATATATGCTTCATATGTAGGTATCCATATATTATAGGGTATCTTCATTTCATTTTCGATTATAGGGTATCCGTTAATCGGACACGGTTGGCCATTGCAATCTGACTGTTTTTCTGTCTATGTTTATCCCCTTTTACACCTGACTGATTTGCATATTTGTTGTGTTGATAATGTAAACTGCACAATTAATATTTTATAATTCAATTCAATTAAATGAAGATTAAAAAAAAAACGATTTTACATATATTTTAAATTCAGTAAGTATTTTATAAAATACAACTGTAAAGTAAATAAATAATCTGAAGTTTAATTCATTATAGTTTTATGAAAATTATAGTTATTTCTCTACATTTCTAAAAAGATCGTTAGTCTAGGCTTGATTGATTGTCTTCTCTCCTAGAATGTCTCCGGCACCTTTCGGTATTGTTAACTCACACATATGTATATATAGAGAAAATCTAACATTTGAACTAATGAAAATCGCATAGAAAGGTGGGACAGCACTTGGAATTGAATTTGATTGTGAAGTGTTCAACGAGTTTCCAGCTCAAGATATGCATGCTGCTCTCTTTTAATCGTTTTTCGTGTGGATATTTTGGACTAGCCGTAATTAAGATGTGCGTTGCTCATTAGAGCGCAACATGCGCTCGGGCTGCTCAGGCGGAGCAGAAAAGGCAGCGGCAGCGGCAGCAGGAGCAGGAGCAGTATCTCCTCGGACTCAAGTTCATTGCAACCGACAAAGCCGAATTGAGTTTCGAACTAACACACGCATACACACACATACCTGTCCACTGAGTGTGTGTGTGGGTGAGAGAGGGAGAGAGGTGACTATGGATTGGTTGGAAAACCGCACTTGAACGAAAATCAAATTAAAAGCTTCAATGCCCCAGACGACAGACGACGGACGACGACGGGTCGAGTTGGAGCACCACGGGCAGGTCAGCTGAGGCACAGAGACATGGTTTCTGTTGCCACATGTCACCTGCAACTATATACATATATATGTATACTACACACACATATATTTATATTGCATATATGTATGTGTGTCGGTGTCCGTGCAACTCACGCACTTTGTATGACTTCATTGAAACGAGTTCATAAAACACTTAAACCCAACCGAACCTGAGCTCCAACTGTTCCCACTGTTCCCATGACGCTGTCAACGCTGCTCGCTGCCAGCTTGTTAGCAGCAGTTAGCAGTTTGGCTGCAACAGTCCCGTTGGGTGGGCGGAACGGGTGGTGTTCAGTCCCGGAGGTTGTGCCCGCAACCGCACCTGGAAATTTCCGCATTCATCTAGCCCAGCTCGCAGCTCGGTCACAGTGCTCCACGCCGGACGTATCACCATCAATGGCCATCGAAAAGTTTGCGTCTTTGGCTTTCTGACCAGATATCTGTACATATACATATGCATATACCTACATACGTGTATGTGTACGTATGTAAAATGAATGATTTTTACTCTGGCTTTTTTTTTCGTTTGGTCGCATCGAGTGCTCACAGCATTTACCAATTGACCTAATCTAAGTGAAGACGCCATTAGAAACCGTTTTGCCTGGATGCAAGCAAGGATGTCATTTAAAGCGCTCGCACATACATACATACATACAAGCGTATGTACGAGGTCGGCTTGAAAAGTATTGCACATTTTGTAGATGATCATTTCATAGTGTACTTAGTATACCCTGAATCTATTGAAAATGGGAAAAATTTTAATTAATAGTAGTAGCTCCAATTACGTGTTAGATGATACTCGAAGTTTTTTATTTTTTATTATTCAATTTTTATTGTCTTCTTCTTCTTGAGCTCCTCCTTTAATGACGTCTTCAGCTCTTCGAATGTACAAATTCTGACTATAAATATAAAGCTAAAAAAAATATTTTGCAATATGAAACTGAAAACTGAAAATTTGCATTCCTTTTCGAACATACCTTGCAAATGCGTGCATACCTCAATACATTTCTACATATGTATATATATACATACATACATACATACATACATACATACATACATACATACATACATACATACATACATACATACATATGTACATGCTACATGCAAAAACTCAATGAATCTGCTTCTGACTTAATGCCGTATAGGCAGTTCATTTATAGATCTACTAATTGCTAAAAATTTCATATCGTCTTGTGGGCCTTTCTAGTTACTCCTTATTGGCTATTGATGCATAAAATTGAACTTGAAATTATATAGCAGGTTATCAAGTTACGCAATATATAAAATAGACATACATACATATACAAATGTGCATATGTATGTACATGTCGTTTCCACAAAATAATAAAACATAATACTTATATACATACATATGTACATGTACATACATATGTATTTTGAGCTTAATGGCAGAGTTCGTTTCCCAATTCTTTCTTGCCTGCAGCTCTTGCAGCTGTATTAGTGTGAGGCTGAGAGCTTCTATAGCATTGTTGTAAAAACGTTATCCATGTGAGTTTGCGTCTTAGCTTTTCGCAGCTCGTTTCTGCACTGCATACGCCAAATTCGCAATGAGAGAGAAAGAGAGAGAGAGAGCGGGACAAAGATAGCTTTAGCTGGATATATGTAGCTGTTAAGTGAGAGCGAGATGGCTATTGAAGCTATACTCACATGCTCGCTCTAATTGTCAGTAGACGAACAGAAGCGACTAGAAATTGACGTACAGCGAGAGCACAGTTACAAAGCATAAAATTAAAATGGTAGGTGGCCTAATTGACTCAAATTTAGTACAAACATGCATACATATATTAATTATATGCATATACTTTTATTCATAGCCTAATATACTCCTGTTTAAATATGCTGAATAGGTTTAGGGTAAGGAAAAGGAAAAAAACGCCAATTGAGAAAAAAATCATAACTTACCAGTCACATGCACACACACATACACTTAGCTACATACATACATACCAATGCATGCACACATGCATATGAACATACTTTTGCACAACCCACACACACACACACACACACACAGTTGCAGTGGCACCGGCTGTTTGTATGTATAAAAAATCTGAAAATGATAGAAAAATGATTAATTGCAGTTGGCAGTAGTTCAGCAGTCAGTAGCGTTGCTGCTACTGCCTCGGCTGCCGCTGCTGCAGTAAACCTCAGCGAGCGCTGTGCTAGAGAGGAGGCCACACAATGCCAGCATGTGTATGTGTGTGTGTGTGTGTGTGTGTATTGGCATTCATGGCTCTTACGTGCGTGTGTGTGTGTGTGTGAAGTATATATTTTTTGCAGCAGCCTTTTTCGTAGCACAACAGCAGCTGACTGCAGCGATATTAATGATAGATATGCGTTCGCTTCAATGCGTCACACAGACCCCACCCACCTGCCACCTCAGCGCCCCCATCCAAGTCGCTGCCTTCACCCCTTCAGCCCGCTTGTCTAGCGAATTATACGATAATATTTATGTATGCTTGGCCCCAAAAAATAGTAGCTACCGGGAGTGTGGCCCATTGCCTAGATGGATCGGCGTTGAAATAAGCGGTGCGATAGCTTTAAATAATTGTTTAACGATTTAACGACTTCTGAACTGACTAAAAAAAAAAAAAAAAAAAATAGCTGCATTTGATGCGAAAGCAAATATTGTGATTCATTTATCGATTGACTTGCGCTCAAGTTAATTGTGAACTGGGCTGCACATTTCTAATACTAACTACAAACAATTTGCAGGATTTACGATATGCGATTTATCTTCATATTATATACTAGAGAAAATTGGTTTTGATTGAAGTGAAATTTGAATTTTGAAGTCTCTGTCCGCTCTCTCTTTCCATATACCATAAAGTATTTGTATAACCGCACTTCTGATGGGCATAGGGAGCAAATCTAGATAACGATACCTAGGAATAGGTGGCTTTCACGCACGAAAACAAGCAAAGCGGACATGCACAAAACCAATAGATGCTTTTTACTATAAGTATTATGCTATAAGTATTATTTTCAGCTCAGAGATCTTCCAAAAAATACAGTTTTCTAAGCTTATTTTATATGAATCCCAGTCTAAACAGAGAAGTATACGGTGTCAATATAACTCGGGTTGATGACATGTATTTGCTAGGTGTGAGGCATGGACTTACATCTACAACGCCATAAATGTGTGTATGTATGTGTGTATGTAAATATACATACATATGCATATGCTCTTGATGAACAACAAAAGCCTTTTTCTACTAATTTTCATTTATTCATTTCGTTAGTTGCAGCATTCATTTCGACAGCCATTCACACACAAAACACACACACACACACACACATACAGAGAGTATATGTGTCTATGTCTGTCTATGGTCTATGCTCAAGTCGCCTTTTATCAGCGCTGCAGCAGAGAGTCGTAGCGAGGGCAGCTCTGGTACTGCCTCTGCCTCTGCCTCAGCCTCAGCCTCCTCACACTTGGCCGGTTGTCGGCTGTGGCTCTGCTGACGGAATGGCTCTGCTGGAATGGCAGTTACGCCACTGACAAAATGTTACTGCAAATATGCCAAAAAAGGTCATACGACTATCAAAAATGAAACAAAAACCAAAACTGACAGCTAACCGTGCCGTGCCGCCCACACTCAACGCTCCAACTCCCTCTCCCCCTCCCTCTCTCACTCCCTCTCCTTCGCTTTGCATTTTGTTTTGGCTGTAAAGCCACGACGAGTCGAGTTCCCATGGGTTTTTGTCAGCTCGGATAAACGGAATTGGGATTTGGGAGCGGGTGGGTGGGTGGTCGGGCGGTATAGGGCGGTCCTGGGCAGCAGTTGTGCTCTTGATGAAAGGGTTTACAACTATTTTCAAACTATGTATTTAGCGCGCATTATGTGACCTCCTCTAAACCACTCTCACACCTCTATCGCTCTGGCCCTCTCTCTCGCTCCTTGGCTCCAGTTTTCTCTAGCTCTATACACTGCAAGCAGAGAGTGAGTCGCTTGAAGAGTTCATTTAAATTATTATTTAAATGTATTTGAAAAAAAAAAAACAACAACTCATAAATTATTGTTAATTATTTGTAGCTTGACTTAAACTAAGTTGCCTTATTAGTTGACTGTTTTTAATCATTATCAAAGCTCTCTTGTTTTCTTGCAGTGCAGCTTTTAGTTGGCCTTCGTCATATGCTATTCATACGATGTCTGTTTCCATGATGACGATATGTTTGTTTGCCCCACTGCGACAGGGCACAGTGGACTGTCTATAGAATATTAAATTAATTCTTAAAATTAACTTATTTATATTTTTTATTTTTTATTATAGATTTCTCAAGAGCTTATTCTTGGCTCAATCTGTACATTCATATGCCGGACTTACTGGGCGACCTAAGAATATTATATATGTAGTTAAACTAATGTATCAATTCAAGTATTCGAGGAATAAGTTTAAATAATGCGATTAAAACTTTAAGTTGCGGTTTATTAATACATACTGTTTCTCTTTTTCTAGAATAAATTATATAAATATATTCAACTGATGAAAATGGCATAATGATTGAGGATCAGAAAGAGCAATCGACTATAGATTGGTTCAGCTGTTCATCTCTCTTTGGAAACCATCTTAGTTCACTCCAAGTTGTCTGAGAGATCGCTTGAACTATATATGTAACTTGAAAAATTGAAGTTTATGGCATCGGCCTATCATATATATAAAGTACGTAATTCTTATTGAGCTGAAGAACTAACTCCAGCTCGACTGAATCATTTGTTCTTCGGTGCATCACTTAGTTCGATCCTTAATCCTGTCTGTAATATATTCCCTTTAGTTACAATTGTTTGCTGACCACTGTGCCACTTGCTGGTCGGCTGGCTTTCGAGGGACTTGCTTGACCCGTGGACCAGCTACATTCGACCATCCAGCCATCCAGCCATCCATCCATCCAACCATTCGACCGACCATCCGCCGCCCACTCTCGCTCGTTCGCTCAATTTTGGCTGCTTATGGCCACTTGTAACATATTTTTTGGGCAGCGGATTAGTTGCACGCCATGTTGCCACTTGAAGTGTTTATGTGTCACATACACACACACACAGGCACACTCCCACACACACACACACACACACACGCTTATACACAAACACTAGCATAAGTATATCATGCGACACTTAATAAAAACAATGTGCTCAACATGCCGCCTTAAATGGAAATCCATTTTCACTGTTTGTTTTTGTTCGCTCTTCATAGCAATGCGTGCATGTGTATGTGTGTATGTGTGTGTGTGTTTGCAGAGTTATTTAAATGTCTGCGCTTTGCTGCCACTCGCTTGGCACCAAAAATGTATAATTAATTGTTTTAAAGCATTCTCCTCTCTGGGTCTTCCAAATCCGTCATCTAGTTTTTGGCCTTGGGTCAGGATTGGAAGGAGTTAGGGTTGGAGCTGTTAGCACATACATCTAATTTTGTGGTTCTTCTCTGTATATGTGTGTATATACATATGTATGTACGGTAAAAGTATCTTTGTGCCATTTGCTACTTAAGCAAGCTGATGATTATTATAACTAGTCATCGTCACACGCGCTGCTGCTGCTTAATCGTTTTAGCAATTAGTTTACACTAAAGAGCTCTGAAGGCGGTGACTTAGTTTAAAAAAAAATTAATAAGTAAACAAATAAAGAGTAAATTAAATAAAAACAAATAAAAACCTTTTTATTATTTTTATTGTATATACTCATTTATATATTTTATTTTAATTAATAAATTTAAAAAAAAAAAAAAAAATAGGCGATCATTTTACCGGTGGAATTTTTCCATCCGGCGTGTTCCCACAGCAGTTTTCATTTCGTCACTTTTTCAGCGGTGACGGCGCCAAATCAGAGACTTGAGGGTGGTGTTATTTCTCAATTTTATTTTCACAATTCCTTAACTCCTTTTACACATTTTTTGACACAAATTTACGTTTCTTTTGTTGGTGTAATGTATGTATGTAAGGGTGTGTGTTTTTTGTGTGTGTAAATTGCATTTCTTTCACAGGTTATTGCCCATATATGTGTTTATGTGTTGTTGTTTTGCTTGTGTGTGTGCGCTAATTTTAACTTTCCTTGATGGGGGATATATAACTACTTATAAGTTCTCAACATGTTTTTTATGCTGAGTGTGTGTGGTACATATATATTTTGTATATATATACTAGAAGATAACTTTGAACTTAACTCTAAACACATTTTATGCTTAATTTGTAAATGGTGTATATGTATTATATACAATTTCGTACATATTCTTGAGGGGGACGAATATTGACGAATTATGAGGGGGGAAGTATAGAGTGTAGTTTGTAACTAGACTTGAAATTTGAATATTGGCATTTCTCAGTTGACGAGTGTGAAGTTCACAATCAGTCGGGGAGATGTGATCAACCCTTTGCTGCTGTGGGGCACTCGACCGCCCGGCTGCCTGAACGTCGGAAGTTATACTTATACAAACACTAGGCCGAATAATGAGTTGGGAATTATAAATATTTCGTGTAAACAGGCCTGTACTGACTGCTTGCTTCAATTACCTATGTATGTGTTGTAGACAGTGCTGCCAATTCTGGCATTTTTCTCCCGTCGGATCCAGCTTTTCAAAAGTTGGAAAGCAGGGCAAAATGACAAATTTGACCTATTGTGAATTAAAAAAAGGTTTACTTTTTTAAATTACTTAATAGCCCAACTGATATTATATAAGTAACGTAAAAGCGAGTAAAATTCATCAAATACGTATGTAGTACTATATATCAAATAAAAAAAAATTAAGTAGATAATAATAAATAATAAATAATAAATAATAAAATAAACAAATTAATAATATATGCTCACTTCGCTATTCAGCTTTTTTGGCAATTTTTTTTTTATAGCTAGATCTAGCTTTGCATGCTGCAAAAAAGCAACACTGTCTGTGGTGTATGAGGCAAGCAGAACCAGTTATTTTTTTGCTCACTGAGAGCGCAATTGGCAGGCGCTCTCTTTCTCTCTCTCACACACATACGCACGCCATATATAAATTGAAAATGATCAAGTGCAGCAGCACTCATTGAGCTGAGCGAAGATGAATTGTGTACATACATATGTATATTCATATGTATCTATGTATATAAAGAAATAAAGAATTTATATATGTATTTATATATAATCAATTTAATGTATTTATCCATATTATTATTATTATTATATATCCATATAACTATTTTTAAATACTCTCTGCATTTTCTCATAAATTATAATATTATTTCGATTTATCAAGCTTTAGTAACCCATTTCAGAGCTTTTAAATGAAAAGAAAAAAATCATGTGCGGCACAAGTTGCTGCAAAACACCTTTGTGCAAACAAAGGTATAAAGGTACATAGGCGCACATGCTCTACCTATGGGTAGTATAGCTTTCCTACATAATATATTCTCTAGCTACAGGGTGAAGTAAAAGTAATCAGCCAATGTTTTTTAATTGTAATTTGTTTGTTTTTTCTTCTTTTTTCTGTGTGCAAATCTTTTGTTCTGCTTGTGAAATTTGTTTACTTTAGAAATTATTCGAACAAATCGAGAAAATTTAATTTAAATTTAATTGTGTATCCAATTTTAATTAATAATAGCAATAATTGATAATAATAAAAATTAAGTTTTTTCAAATTAATGTAATAATTGCACAAATAAACCTATATACTCTATTCATTTAGTGAGCATAAAAACTAGTTTATTTTTAATTATTTAATTTAATTTATTATTTTTTATAAATCTTTCTGCTAAGCGCTATTTAGTCAAGAGTATTTGCTATGCGGCATGCGCAGACCTTCAGCTATTATATAAATAAACATATAGACATATGTAACTGTATGTTGGATATGCTCAGGCAAATACTTGGCCAACTAGAATTGCTGCTGCTTTGGGCCATGAGCATTTGTTGGCCCACAAGCAAAGGATATAAAGTGCTTTGGCAATTGTTTTGTGAGGTTTTGCTTTGTGTTGCTTTCAATTGTCGTTCATAAGATAAGTTGTATGGAAGATGCATACAGAAAGATGTATATATACATACATATATAGAGTGATATATATGTATATGTATGTATATATATTTGTCTAAATACGTATGTAAGGCAAATATTTGCACAGTGTAATTTAGTTGTTGTACAAAATGTAACTAAGAGCACACACACACACACACACACATTCGCACAGTGTAAGAGAGAATTTACTCAAGACTTTTAACAGCTTCCCAGTTTCAGTTTCAGTTTCAGATTCAGTTGCTGGCATGCCTAAGCCTAAGTAAATCTTAGAAAATGGGGCGCTACGAGCTATTCAACAACAATAATAAAGGCTACAAAAGTGGGTAGAGTATATATATATATATATATATATATATATATATATATATATATATATATACATATATATGCATAGGCAACAGAGAAGTTTACGTGCTAGTTGGCGCATTTCTATTTAGTTAAAGGCAACACAAAGCACTTTGCTTGCTTATCATACAACTCAGTTATCCTATCCTTAGACCCATGCCCATGTCTTGGCTGTGTGCGCACGGAGTGTTGGACCGTTGCAGCTACTTTGCTATTATTATGGCTATAAACTATTATTCTGCCAACTAGCTGCCTGCTGTTGATATTTTTCTAAATTTAATTGCATTTCAGCTAGCCGAGCTGAGTGACAGTCTGTCGGTTGAGCTGTGGCCTGGTCTCTGTTGCTGTTGCTGTTGCTGTTGCTTCTGCTTGCTTCCTCCTGCTGCTGCTGCTGCTGCTGCTCCTCCTCCTACTGCTGCTTCTGCTGCTGTTCGTAGAGCAGCCTGCTTCCAGCTTTTTGGCCAATCTGTAGCAGGCAGCTAGCACAACGAGGACAACTCAATTTGATGGCAAATCACATCATATGCTTTCCAAACACGTCCTTCACAACGCAAAAATTTAAGTCACGAAAACAATTTTGTGAATTGTTGGCGGCCAGTCCTCATTGCTTTGACTCCTTCTATCCCAAAACTCAACTCCGAATGTTTCCTTGCGCCATCCTTACGCCACGGCCTATACTGACTCTCGTTCTGTCCCTCTCGCTCTCTCTGTGTATCTGTCCTTTTGGTCGTCGGAAATGCCTTGAGTGGATTACAGCGCTTTATTGCTACAGCTTCAACTGCCCCTCCTACTGCTTTTTTCGTTGCTGCTTCCGCTCCTGCTCTATTCAATCACCTCGTTATCTGTCGCGTCGCTTCAATAAATAATGCCAAATTCGTAGCTTCGTTTATTTTCTGGACAAATTCAAAAACAATCGTATCTTCAAATTTGCATTTGCGACCAGCACGTCTATTAGGACTCTTTAATTAGATTTATTTTATTAGAAAGATACAGGATACAAGATACAAGATACAAGATACAAGATACAAGATACAAGATACAAGATACAAGATACAAGATACAAGATACAAGATACAAGATACAAGATACAAGATACAAGATACAAGATACAAGATACAAGATACAAGATACAAGATACAAGATACAAGATACAAGATACAAGATACAAGATACAAGATACAAGATACAAGATACAAGATACAAGATACAAGATACAAGATACAAGATACAAGATACAAGATACAAGATACAAGATACAAGATACAAGATGTTGGCATTTTTTCAGACGAGTGCGAAGTTCACAATCAGTCGGGGAGATGTGATCAACCCTTTGCTGCTGTGGGGCACTCGACCGCCCGGCTGCCTGAACGTCGGAAGTTATACTAATGATGTCAATTCTTTTTGAAAAAAAGGCAAACATATTCGCAAAATATGGAAAAAAGGTGATATTAAAAAATTGGACAGAAAACAGAGCAAACAATTTTTTTTTTTAATTTGCAATTTATGCAACATTTTCAGACTCTGCAGTACGCCTAAATCACCGACACAATTCAATTTTTTCTTAACCGAATAGCGGTAAACAATTTAGTATATTTAATGCTAAAATTATGTTAAACTGTTCTGCAATGTTAATCAGTAAAATTTTATTGCATCCACAAATGATCAACTGGAAAAAACCAACGAACTGGGAAAATATGAATACGATTCGCAATAAAAAAAGAACAGATTTCCGGATAGAGGATTTTGATATTTTTCCCTTAAAAATATGACAGATCTGTCCGGAAAAAGGACAAATTGGCATCACTGACTTATACGAACACTAAGCCGA